ATCTTTATAGGCATATCCTCCTTTAGATTAGGAAAATTTTCTTCTGTGATTTTATTAAAAATATTCTCTGGGCCTTTGAACTGGGATTCTTCTCCTTCTATCCCTATTATTCTTAGGTTTGGTCTTTTCATAATGTCCCAGATTTTCTGCATGTTTTGTGTCAGGAATTTTTTAGGTTCAATATTTCCTTCAACTTATATATTCATTTCTTCTACTGTATCTCCAGTGTCTGAGATTCCCTCTTCCATCTCTTGTATTCTGCTGATGAAGCTTGCCTCTGTAATTCCTCTTTGAATTCCTAAATTTTTCATTTCCAGAACTCTCTCAGTTTGTGAGGTATTTTTTTTTTATTACTTCTGTTTCCATTTTCAGTTCTTGAACAGTTTTACTTACTTCCTTCAGCTGTTTGTTTTTTCTTGGCTTTCTTTAAGGGATTTATTCATTTCCTCTTTAAAGGCCTCTATCATCTTTATGAAGTTGGTTTTAAGGTCTTTTTCTTGTGTTTCAGCTATGTTGGAAAATTCAGGGCTTGTTATAGTAGGATAACTAGGCTCTGATGATGACATATTGCCTGGGCTGGTTTTGATTTTGTTCTTATAGCGTCATCTTAGCATCTGGATTTGGGTCTAGATTATAGGTCTAGGTGCTGATTTCTGAGTTTCTTTGTTGGATGAGTATTTTTGTCCCTTGGTTTCTGTTTCCTCTCTGGTTTTCTGGCTACTGTGGTCTGTGGTTGAGCAGAGGTCTCCACCCAATTGAGGACTGGACTTCTGGTGACGATTGTGGCAGAAGAAGGGTTCTCTGTCCCCATGATGGGGGCTGCAATGCAGTGATGAAGAGGGATGGGGGCACAGAGAGAGTTGGTGAAGTCCAAAGGTGGGTGGCCTACCTGGACTTCTGGTGGCCTCTCAAATAATGGAAGAAACAAAGACATCTGTATACTTCTTTATCTCTACATCCAGAAGATTCTCTATAAAGATTCAGTGCCCTACACAATAAAAGAAATGGTTTTATGCAATAAGAGGTATTTATAGAGATTTGGAAAGTGGCTACTTCCTTGGGAAACAATTTTTTTTTTTCTAAAAGGCAAGGAAGGGTCAATGTAGTTCATGTGAATAATTTATGTATGTGGAATATTCGAGACAAGTGAGCTTGTTCCGCTGCCTGCTCTCAACAGAAACATTCCCCAAGCAGCTATAATCAGACAAATGAAATGACCTTCAAGGTAAGCCATTGGCCACCAGGATGGGATCATTCATTCCATACAGATCTCATGGCAAAGCCTTGTCTTTCCTCAGGGTGGCAGGAAATGGCTTTGTTTGGATTTTACTGAGCTACCCATGCTAAGGAAAAGAGAGTCCCTAGAGCCATCTTAACATGCACTCAACAAAGAGCAGTGTTTACAGAGCCCAAGCCCTCTCCTCAGCCTACTTGTAGTTCTTCCTGGGTTTACATGAAGTCTCTGTGTGGGTCGTACTGAAGGGAGGCATGGTATGCGATAGATACCAAGTCACAAAGCTCACTGGTAAAAATGTGACCTTCACTGGGTTCCGTTTCCCGAAGTGAATCCTACAGCAGAGGAAGAACTGGCTGCTGAGATGGGATTAGGGACTGAGCCTCCCTTTCCATCTGTGTCACAGGCAATTTTGGAAAAGGTAGTCTGGTCCCTCCCCTTCCCATCCCCCAGCCTTCCGAAACAGCAAAACCCAATGGCATTTTCTGATTTGGCCTCTGGAGTAAGGTAATGTAAAGCAAGCAGTCAAATTCTTTTCTTGGCATTTTTAATACCAATTGCCCAGATAAAACAGAAACTGCAGTGGGCTTCGTCACAGCAACTGGATGCGAAGATTAATTAGCAGGTTTTCTCCCTTTTCACTGCTGAACTGACTGTGTGGGTGACACGCGGCCCCCTCTCTGTGCTCTGGCTGATGGATGGAGCATTCAGCCCATTAGCTGAAGGGCCTTTCAGCAGGATGGCACGTCTGTCCTGCGTGACTATTTATAGGCTACTTTGTTCTGACAGACCCTTTCATTCTAGCTACTCCATCTGAAATTGTTGGTTTTGAACTTTCCATTATCCCTATGAGTTCTATGAGCCAAGTATTATTTGCAGTTTCAGGCTGTGAATATTATTAGGTTGAAGTGATTTAATGTGGCACATTAGGGGCAAATGTACTACACATATCACTGTCATGGAAACAAACTGGGCACAGACTAGAGGCATGAGGTAGAATTGTTATGGACCAATGATGCTCAAAATGAAATTCCAAAAAATGTATGTGACATTCATCTCAAATAGATATGCTACCCACCAGAGTTCCTTTGCCTCCTGAATTGAGCTGGCTTTTGTAGTTGGTTGATTTTACTCTTTACTCTTTTGGCTCTTTGTTGTTTATTTTTTTGGGGGGTCCTCCATCCAGCTCCCAAATAAATACACATGGAGACTTATTATTACTTATAAATACCCAGCCTTAGCTTGGCTTATTTTTAGCCAGCTTTTCTTAACTTAAATTATCCTACATACCTTTTGCCTCTGGGCTTTTTCCTTTTCTGACTTCTGCAATCTTACTTTCACTCTTACTCTGTGTCTGGCTATGTGGCTGTGTGGCTGGGTGACTGGCTCCTTTTCTTGCTCCTTGATCTCTCTTGCTTCCTGATTCCTCTTTTTCTCCTCTTATTTATTCTCTCTGCCGGCCAGCCCCACCTATCCTTTCTCCTGTCTAGCTATTGCCTGTTCAGCTCTTTATCAGACCATCAGGTGTTCTCGACAGGCAAAGTAACACAGCTTCACAGAGTTAAGCAAATGCAACATAAAAGAATGTAACACATCTTTTCGTCATTAACCAAATATTCCACAACATAAGCAAATGTAACACATCTTAAAATAATATTCTACAACAGGCATTAAAGTTTCCCTATAACTTGACCGAGAGCTGCTCTCCTGCTCCATCTCCATCTTAAACTCTCACCAGCCAGTACAACTATGATCTCTTGTTCCCTACCAGCATCTTCTTTTGCTCAGTGCATCTTGCCTCTTGGTCTCTGTTGTTCCACATCCTCAGCTGGAGTGTCTTTGTCTTAGCTGGCAATGGGCTTTGGTGTCTCTTCTAGTTCATATTTCTGTCACTGTGATGAATCACTGACAAAAAAACAACACAGAGGAGGCGAGATTTGATCTAGCTTGTACCTCCAGGTTACAGCCCGCCATTTCTAGAAAGTCGAGAACTAGTCACATTACATTCAAGAACAGAGAGAAAAGGATGTATCCATGCTGGTTGATTACTTGCTGTTTATGTTCAGTTAGTGTTCTTAATTCTTATAAAATTCATGGTCCAGCCCATAAAATGATGTTGCCCACATTTAGGACAAGTCTTTCCCCCTTAATTAATAAGCCAAGCCCTACAGACATGCCCACAGTCCAACCTGATTTAGGTAATTCCTCATTAAGTCTGTCTTCCAAGATGACTGTAGGCTGTGTAACTTTAACAGTTAAAACTAACCAGGACATTTTACTCTTTGACAACTTGACAAATAAATACTACTTAGGTCATAACTTTGGAACTCTTGTTGCCAAATTCTCTTGTTAATGTATGATGTGAAATGTGGTTGAACTCTGAAAATCTCCCATTCTTCAAAATTCTAACACTTAAAAATTCTAAAGTCTCTTAAATGTGGGCTTCTATGAAATAAAAAAAAATGAGTTACGTAATTAAACATTTTTATTCCGAAAGTGAAGAATCAGTGTATAGCAAATGTACAATCACATTTAAAAAAAAGAAAAAGAAAATCTAGCAATGTGACTCAAACTGTGTAGCTCATTGTCCAGCAACTGAAGCCTGTAATCTTTTGGGCACCAAAGGACTTAGGCAGCCTTGCCTCTCTAGCTCTGCCATCCACAGTGCCCACTTCCCTTTTAGGATGCGACATTCCACCCCACAGCTCTTCTTGGCAGATCTTGCATAGTCCAGGCATTTCCAATATTCTGGGGTCCCTGTTGCAACTGAGGTTTAACCTTCACCAGTAACCTCTCTGCAGACACTCTGACCCTGTCACAAGATGCCAAGCCTCAGATGCTCTCCATGAATCCTTCAATCTTGCATTTTCATGGACAACTATTCCATTGGTATTTAATATTTAGAATGTGGGTGCTATGAAGGAGGAAGAGGCAGGCTTGAGTGGAGAGGATGGGGGGAAGGGAGTGCTGAGAGAGGGATAATTAACTTTAAGAATATTTAGAAAAGTAATATGAAAACTTACTACTTTAAAACTTTATACATATATATGCATGTATGTACATATATGCGGATATACATTTATACATTACATATACACACACAGTGTGTGTGTGTGTGTGTGTGTGGAGAGAGAGAAAGGACAGCTGAATCAGAGATAAGAAAATGAGATCACTATTCTTTCCAGCTCCTTAGCGGATCCACCGCTTTGTCTCCATGGTCCTGGTTCTGGCTATACTCTGCATTGACTTTTTAGCATTTCCATTGTTCTCTTGTGGATTCTCAGCTCTCCTTGAGTGTGGCATTATATTGACTGTGTTTGACAAACCACTTGCCCACTATGCTCAAGCCCTGAGTTTGGCCAAAGGGCTGCCTCCCCCTAAGGCAGGATTTGAGAGGTCAGCATTGGATGTGAGGAAGGCACGGCTTTTACATCTCAGGGGTGGGGGTTTCCAAATGGGGGATTTGGCGGGGTTATAGGGGCAGAACTTAAGCATAACAATTTAGTCATAACGACCTCCTGAAACAAAGACATGGTTGCAAGGTAGGCATAACAAGGTGGTCATAGGTGGTCATATAACATTTTGAAACAAAAATGGGGTTGCAAGACAGTTATAACGAACTTTTGAAACAAAGACTTGCTTGCCATTCCTGGAACAGACAGTACAGAGCCATTTGTAGTTAAGGTTATAGGTGGGCATAGCCCAAACCTTGAGAAACAGAGCTTTAATCATAAACAGAAATGACCTAGTTTTTTTTTGCTATAAGATGGCTTTTAAGCCAAAGATAGAGGCAGGCTGGTTCTTCAGACCGACTTCTGAGCAAGCAGAGCTCCACCGCCCCCAATGTGGTGAACGCAGCCCGGGCCAAATTCCGCACTGTCGCTATCATCGCTCGCAGCCTGGGGACCTTCACCCCTCAGCATCACATTTCTCTCAAAGAGTCCACCGCGAAGCAGACTGACATGAAATATAGGTGTGGATGAGAGGTCTCTCTGCCCGGGGTTTTCCTGTTCTTTGCAAGTGGAGTCAGGCAGTTCTTCCGTTTTGAAGTGACTTAACTCAGTGCTGTTTTGCTTTTAATTCTCAGGTGTTTGCTTTTAAATTAGCCTTTTGGGGGGAGAGGTGAAAAAGCCCAAGGTGGTGTGCAAGCATGCGTGCGATGTTTAAGATGTGGCCCATTTTGTATATTCTAAGTGTTATGAGCACTTAAGACCTAAATGAATTCCAGACCATAGAGAAAAGGCACAGAACCTGGAGATTCTTCTGTCAGGAGAGTTTGTCAGGAACAGAAGTATGTGTCCTGCCTGATGCACAGACAGGAAATTCTGGGCTTACCCTATCAGAACAGTTTTTCATCCCACACTGCACCCTTACCTTTGGGAGACCATGGTAACATGCTAAGTACAGCTTGGGTGGGGTGGTGAATGGGGTTGGGAGGGAAACAGGAAAATAAGGATGATAGTGATCAAGACAACAGTGTACGTATAAGAAATTGTCTGAAGAACACATTCAATAAAAGAAAAGAATCATTCAAAAATAATGTTCCTACTGTCTGTGCCTCATTGTTGTAGTTGAACCACAGGCGTTTGTCGAGGGACAGTCTTGTCTTCAGAGGATGTCTTAGTTAGGGTTGCCGTTGCTGTGCTGACACACCATCACCAGAAGCAAAGGAAAGGCTAATTTTGCTTATACTTACACATCCTTGTTCATCAACAAAGGAGAGTCAGGCAGAAACTGAAGCAGGGCAGGAACTTGGAGGCAGGAGCTGATGCAGAAGCCAGGGAGGAGTGATTCTTACTGGCTTGCTTGGTCTGCTTTCTTATAGAACCCGGGATGACCAGCCCAGGGATGGCACCACCCACAGTAGGTTAGGCCTGCCCACATCAATCGCTAATTAAGAAAATGCCTTACAGTCGGATCTTAGGGAAGTTTTTTTTTGTTTTGTTTTTTGTTTTTTGTTTTTCTTCTCTCAACTGAGGCTCCTCCTTTCAGATGACTCTAGCTTCTGTCAAGTTAACATAAAAATCATCCAGCTTTTGGAGTCAGGAGCTCCATTGGGGTTTTTCTGTCAACAGAGTTGAACTCAGTTTGGACTGTAACGGTCTCACCCTCAGTATTGGCAGCATGCACACGGCGTCTTTCATCGCTTGCAGCTAAGCACAGTTCTTCACTGATAGCCGTCTGGGTTCTTCAGCACTCTTGAGTCACACATTGTGTTGACGAGACAAAATGCTTCTTTTCCAGTCCTTGTCTCACTTGGAAACACTCCATCTATGACACTCAGGTGATTAGTGTGGGTGTGGCTCGCCTCTCGCTTTCAATTTCTGCCCTGGGTCACCTTTGTGAACAAGAGATTATGAAATAATGCCCAACACATGCCAAACTATCTTAGGGTTGGGGGAGCAGGGAGACGACTGCATGCTTTTCCAAAATAGTGGAATATTTTTATTACCTGAGTCACTGTGCAGGTTGGTTTTTATTGTCACCTTGACACAACCTAGAGTCACCTGGGAAGAGGGAACCTCACCCAAGAGATGACTTACACCGTGTTCATGAGAGATCGTCTTGATTATGGTTGATGTTGGAGGGCTCAGCTCACTGTGGACAGCATCATTTCTTGGAAGATGGACTTGAGCTATGTTAGAAATTTATCTGAGTAGGAGCCAGGCAGCAAGTGAATAAGCTGCATTCCTTCATGGTTCTTTCTCCAGCTCCCTGATTTGAGTTCCTGCTCTGACTTCCTCAATGACAGATCATGACCTGGACATGGAAGCCAAATAAACCTTTCCTCCCAAGTTTCTTTTAGCCATGCTCTTTTATCTTTTATCATAAAAGCAGACTGAAACAACCATCTTCTAGTTATAGTGAGTATTTTTTAAAAGTACTGTTAGGATAGAAAATTCTCCTGTGAGAATTTAGTTCACAGTCATTGGTTCATGTGTACTTTAAGATTAGTGTCTAGAACTCGAAATAACTAAACACCAAGAAAATAAACAACCTAATTTTCAAATGGGCAATGGAGTTGAAAAAGTTCTCAAGAGATACAAATAGTTAAAGTGCATTTTTAAAAAAAGGTTTAACATCCTTAACCACTGGGGAATTGCAAATGAAAACTGCTTTGAGATTTCATTTTACCCTAGTGACCTAGTGTGCTCTCTATTGCTGTGATAAACACCATGACCAAAAGCAACTTGAGGAGGAAGGGGTTTGTTTCATCTTACAGCTTACTGCCACGGACTGGCCCACCAGGAGTACCACAACCGTAGGAGAATCAGGGCTTGGGTAGTCAGGAAGGCAAGGATTC